CGAGGCGCCCGGGGTCTTGGCCGGGGTTGAGGGGCCCTGCGGGAGGACGCGGCTGCTTTGCTCCCTCAGGAAGTTCAGCAGGAACGGCACGAATTCCTTCCGCAGAGGCCGAAGCGCACTCAGAGCGGCCACCTCGGAGTTTTCCTGGGGAAGAAGCAGAGGTCGCGAGGCGAAAGAGTCAGCTGACAGCCCCGGCCGCCAGTCGCTCAGGCCGCAGGGTGGGCGGCCCGGCAGTGGCGCCCAGAGAAGCGCCCTAGGCGCGGGCCGTCAACCAGGGCCGGCTGGGAGAAGGGACTGAGGCAGCGTCCCCCGCGGGAAGCGCATTCCAGACAGGCCTGAGGGCGCGTCGGCACTGTTACCTCCGAACTCGGGGTGCTGCGCGCGATCCACCGCACGGCGGCTGCGACCGGCACCTCTTCGCGCAGCAGCGACTCCAAAACGGCCGCCATCCCGGTCCTGGCGCTCTGAGGCTACTGCGCAGGCGCAGACGCACCACGGGCGGCCGGGAGGGGCGGAGCCGGCGGCCCGGAGCGACCGTTGGGCGGCGGGGCGGGGCCTTGCGGGGTGGGGCCTGGCTCTGGCCGCCGGGGAAGGTTCTCGGCGCTCTTGGCGCTCTCGGCGCTAGTCTACCGGCCCAGCCAGCGCCGGCCTGCGGGGCGCCCGGAGGCCCTGCCTGACTGCCTGGCCCGGGAGCTGTGTGAGCTTGGACGGGGCTGCTAGGAGACACACGCAGCTCTGCGGAGGTCCCGAGTCCGAAAGAGAGGACAGGCAAAAAAAGTGAACAACTAAGACACCGGCCCATCAGACCACACATCTGCCATAAGCAAAGCCTCCGGCCACCGAAAACAGAGCTTTTTGATTCACTCCCTCCCCAACGAAAAAAAAGTTATGTGAGTAACCTCCTATTTTGGCCTCCCCCACCCCCAAAGAGGCTGACTTTTCACCACTGGCCAGGCTTTCAGGCGGTCTCCATCAACTGACAGTTTAGCACATAGTTCCTGCTGAGAGGCATCTTCTTAAAAACCTTCAGATCACCTTATGAAAGGCCCCCACGACACCCTATACACAGAATTGTCCTTCAGACTTGTATTTACTCCTTTATACATTGTATGAAATTGTTTACATTAGGTGACTATTTCAACTTCTTGTATTTGAGAAGTCAAACATATTCACGATTAGCTTAAGAGAAAGGCATTTCTGCAGGTGTTTACACCCATGCGCCATCTCCCCACTTGCTGGTTAACCCTTGGGCTGCATCTCCTGTCGGTCCCTTATTCTGAAAAATATGATTTTCGGACGTTGCTCCTTGGTTTAAAAAAAAAAAAAAAACCAGCCGGGCGGTGGTGGCGCACGCCTGTAATGCCAGCACTAGGGAGGCAGAGGCAGGCAGATATCTGAGTTTGAAGCCAGCCTGGTCTACAGAGTTCCAGGACAGCCAAAGTTACAGAGGGAAACCCTGTCTTGAAAAACCTAAATAAATAAATAAACAAATAGGAATCTAGTTGAGAAAAGCAGCAGTGAATTGCCATCTGTTCCTCTCCTTCAAAGGAAGACCACTTGGTGACAGAGAACAGGAATCCCTCTAGTGGTAACCGGGATGTTTGCTAGGGAGAAGGAAAGGCAGCTTTTAAGGCTTACTTGTGTGCTGGGTTTCGTGCTTTTGGCAGTAGGCAGGAGAGAATCTCAGTTTCAAAGCCAGTTTGAACACATCCCCATCCATACCAGGGAAGCCCTGGTTTCACCCAGCTTGTATGCACTTAGCCCCAGATGTCCTGTCAATTCTGCTGTACTGAATCTGTGACACTCGAGTAGATTAGGAAATGTTTCCACTTTTTGGAACCCAAACCATCACACGAACAAAACTAAAGTTTGCATGCGTACTGAATGTTTTATTACTAGATTATAAAAATAAAATACAAAATAATTTTAAAACAGAACTTAAAACACTGTACAAAGCTTTAATATGGTACAAATGGGAAAATTAAATAAATAATTACACTTTTATGTACAGATGGCCTATACAAAAGCACTCCATGTTTTTCTTTCAATGCTCTATGCCCTTGGTTGCCTGAGCAAATACACATAAAGGGAAGACGTGTGGAGGGGAAAGGAATACAGCACAATACATTTAAAAGAACTTCAAAGAGCAATTTCTCATCTAAGATGAGGATAGTAAAGCGGATTAAAGTAATTTAACTCATTTGTCTTATCCAATAAGAGAATCCTGGTTGTGACTAAATCTGATGACATTTGCCATAATAGCTTATAAACTTAACATTTATATCTAACACAAAATCAGACATGCCTTCTTTGCATGAATTTGTGAATAAATTGTCTGATGAAGTAGGTGCTATTTTAAGAAAGGTGTCAAAGGGAAATGAGAACTGTAAATCAGAACAGCAAGGTGGCGCAAGCAAGGATCATCAGATCTGTTCTTTGAACTCGACCTATCTAATTCAATCTCATCTAAGGTTTTTGCTCTGCTGGGATGATAGACACAGACCACCAAGTGTTGGTAATCCGATTTCAACGTCCTGAGTGGCCCAGTGCTACATTTCCTTTCTCTTAAAAGATGTTTCCTTTATTTTCCTGTATTTTAATTTCTGAAGTCTTTAACTTAGAGAACTAATTACACTAATTGATGAAGAGTTCAATGAAACTATTTTAGCCAGGCGTGGTGGTAATGCACACCTTTAATCCCAGCACTCTGATAGGCAGAGGCAGGCAGGTCTCGGAGGTCAATGCCAGCCTGCTCTACAAAGCTAGCTTCAGGACGACACCCAAGGTGAAACAGAGAAACCTTGTCTTAAAAAACCAAACCAAAACAAAAAGAACTGTTTTGAATAAAGTCTCAAAGCTTTCTTTTCATCAAACTCCCTAAAATAAATCATAGCCCCCCCCAAAAAATCATACCCAAACTCTGTAGCCTTGTTTACTGCTGTAGATGAGCAAAAACGCCTGGCAGTCTTAAGTTTGCTTGTGATACAAGTGAATTTTTGAGGACTTAAATCATGTTTTATGAGAGTTTTAAAAAAGCAAGGATAGTCTACATAAGACCTAGGTTTACTAATATCTTTAGTTGAACAATCATGTGTACAATACAAAACAATTTTAAATTATAGAGATATAAATCTATCCACTGTTAGTGCAAAACTATGTTATCAGCAAATTCTGTAATTCTATAGTCTCAAAGATCTGCCATTCATCCTGATGTTGGTCTAGAAACTCTGGCTGAAGGTATCAGAGAGGTCAGCATCACTAGTCTACAGTGTGGATACTATCACCCCCACTTAAAGCAGGCAGAAGCTTGTTACATTGTAAGGGCAATGGAAGGAATGCCACTTTACTTTTGCTACATGGTTTCTTAAAACCACAGTTTGAGTGTAGTATAGAAAGATAATCCCATTACCTCAAACATGCCTTGAGCAGCCTAGCTATTAGCTGTTATGTGGGAGAGCAAATCCTGAAGTCATTACTGAGTAAATCTTTGCCATTTAGCATCTTGAGACTGTGTGAAACCATGAGACAATCTTGTCTCTAATATTCTGATGCAAATCCTCTCACAAGAAGACCTTAACTGAAAGCCTACATATTTTACCCAGATTCCCCTCTAAGTGAATAGGGGTTGTTGTCCCACCCTTAGGAGTTCCCTAGGAACTTTAGGGGTCCTTTTCCTGCAGTTCTGGCAAGCAATGTTAGGTAACAAGAGTCTAAAGGCTCCAAAACTATGTTAAATTTCTGGTGAAATGGCCAAAGTATGGCAAATCCTCAACAACGAGGAGTTTCCACTTTACTTCAACATTCTACACACTAGAGCTTTGTAAGGGTTTGCTGAGGAAGTGGGGTGTACCGATAAGCACTTGGTAATACCAGGCACCACAATTCCCACACTGTCCAAGCTGTGGAACTGCGTAAGTTTCCTTCCATAGTAAGTAAAGGTCTAAACATGCGCCAGTGTGATTGTTGGACATGGGTACATTTTGGCATGTAAGCACTACCACAGTAGCATAGATTACATGCTGCAATCCTATAACACATTTGGATTGAAACCTAAGTAGCTATTCTGCAAATATATTGTCTATAAAACCAAATTCAAGAAAGTTAAATAATCCAGTTTAACTCACCTATTACCTCAGTGGAAGAAGTGTTCAATGACCCTCTCCCCAGAAACAATAGCCCAACACAAAACAAGAAATAGGCTCATATTTTAAAAGGGAATGCAAACAAATTAATCCTTACATGAACATGACAGAAGAAATATTTAAGATGTGACAGATACAAAAGAATGAGCGGGAGTATGCTCAATGCACAATATATATACATATATGAAAACTTAAAAAAATTAGAATGTATTTTTGTTGTTTTTGAGACAAGTTCTCACACGCTAGCCCAGATGAACTTGAAATCTCTATGAAAGTTGAGGTTGGCTTTAGAGTCCCATCTTCCCACCTCAGCCCCTCAAGAACTGGGTTAGAAACATAAGCCACCATGCCTAGCTAACAAGTTTTTAAAACATGAAAAACTTTGATCTCCAAGGCTAAATCTAGATTATCTACAAATATATTTTAAGATAGCATTTTCAAGATGCATTTTTCCTTAAGCCACTAAATTGTGGATCCTGTCACCAATTCCTAATGTTAAGAGTAGAAATGTAAAATTTTCTGCCCTTGAAGAAAGGCACCTGTTTGTCATCAAGGTTATTGGGTGTAGAAAATCTCACTGTGACTTAGTTAGCTATCTGGTCTAGGTTTATAAAACATGCAGCAATATATACTTTGTACAATTGATGCAATCATGGAAACAGTAGCCTACGAATCTGTGGCTAGGAAGAAATCTCCGGTGCCAGCTGAAGCCCCTCAGTTTCCACAATGGGCCAGGAGTGAAACAGACAGACATACTGCACATGTAGAAGACCACGTCAGCATACAGTGGTTTAGTATGCAAGAGCAAATAATGTAAAGTGGGTAATGATGATAATGGGCCCTTGACCATTTTGCTACTTGTTTGTTTTTAGGCCTTGATTAACTCGTAAGGCAACTTTTACCAAAAACATTCATTGCAAATCATGCAACTAAAAACCTCTGTACCAGGGCTGGAGATAAGTGCCTGGCTGCAGACAGCTTCATTGGAAGGTGACTTAAAACCTGGATCTTAATGTTGAATTGGACATGATCCAATTTCCTCCTCTGTTCAATATCCATTGAAGTCAAATGCATTTAGGCTTCGCAAAATTACTAGGTATGATTTTGATACTTTACGCAATTCACAAAGCCTAAAGTCAGTAGTAAAATTTGGGGGCAACATTAGGAACTAAGCTATTTTTAGGAACTAAGTCCGTTTTTTTTTTTTTTCCGCCTCACTGAAATAATCCCAGGGACCATGGCCAGGACAGGTGTGAGTGAATGATCTGTGCAGATGGAAGCCAGGAGGTACTTGTTTTCCAAAAGATAATTTAACGTCAGCCTCACACTACTTTCACTATAGCTTTGCTCATATTTCTCACCTTAAGTAAAATAGCCAACCTGTTTATATTTATTTGAATGATCTGTGGCTGAAATTTCTCAAAATAATGAACTGACAAAGCCAAAACAAAACAAAAGCTTGATTCTCTGAATTATACTCTTGATCCAAAAGTGTGGCTTAAGGTTGCCAACTTCTATTTCTAACCTGAAAGAACTGTAACATCTAAAAGCACAAACTATGCTTATTAATCTCTTTTGTGTGTATATGTTGCGGGGGTGGAAAAAGGGTTTCTCTGTGTAGCTCTGGCTGTCCTGGAACACACACTGTAGACCAGACTGGTCTCAAACTCAAGAGATTTGCCTGCCTCTGCCTCCCAATTGCTGGGATTAAAGGCGTGCACCACCACCACCTGGTTCAGTTTTTTAATCACTATATCAGAACAGCACTTAATCAATGGACCTACTGATACATAAAATATAATTAGTCCATTTCCTTTTCTTCGGAGCAAAAACATCTTTGGTTGGCTGTTTTCCCTACATTCAAAATAAAATATTCTCACATAATGAGGCCATTTGTTCTCTGGATTTTGATGAGTTTGTTAATGACATGTAGAAAAGGAAGCAACACATTAGAAGATTGAAGAAAACAAACCAAAACAGAAAACATCCTCTGTCATGCTGCCATCACCCTGGGTTTTGACTGTCAGCAGAAAAATTCAGAAAAAAAGTCTGGGCAGTATTAGCTTTCCCAGTGGTAACTGTTAGCACATTTCTGACTAGAGAGGTCAATATTAAAGCTGACTACTTTTAGCATCCTTTAGCTAATGTAACAAAAGAGATAATTTCTTAATTCTCCTACATCTCATCCCCACTCCCAACTTTCAGGAAATGTTTTAAAAATCAGCTGCTGCCAGATCCATAGTTATAATGCCCATTGGTCCACTCTAACCACATGGACAGAATGATGTGGTCAACAGGAGTAATCTTTGAGCCTGTATTACAAGCATAACCTGTTTAAAATTTCACCTATTAAAATACTTTCTAAATGAAAATTAAGTATCTTATACCTTGGCTTGTTAAGGACTGCCAACTGTTGCACTATGCACCTGGAAGGCAAGAGGAATCTTAGGTGTCACATACCCAGAACATACTTTCAGACAATGAAGATAGGCAATGCCAAAGTGTACACGAGGCACACAATAGGAAAGGAATTTCATCATCTAGGATTTTGAAATTACAAATGCAGAATGAGAAAGAATGGATTTATATAAGCATATGTCTCTATATTTATAATATTTATATAATTTACCATGAAAGACATGCAAGTAGTATTGCAGCAACTGTTCTACAATATAATACACAAGGGTCAGTCTCCAGTTGTAACAGACAAACAGTGAATGTGCCTTATCTGCTGCACTGCTCTGAAATGCTTGAGTCTGGAAAGAAACTAGATTACACACTATGCCACACTCCTCAAGGGAGACCTTATGTCTCAGTGTAGTGTCCCCATTTTGAAAATGCTCAATACAGAAAACCAGTGCAGTATCAGGGCAGCTGGGGTGCAGCATTGAACATGCTCACTTAGTGAAGAAATACACTTCCATCTCCATCCACCCTTACCTCAAATTCAATTGTTTTAGGTTTGGCAGCAACACAAGGTCAAAGAGAAAGTATATGTTTGTTAGAAGGCAGATTTCAACAGCAGGCAGATCAATTTCCCATACCTCAATAAGGTTTTTATCATACTAAACACTCACAGGGCATCAAATAGCCCACTTAAAAAGTCTGGTTCTCTTTAATTTGCCTGATTTTGCTAGAAAGAGAGTGAGAATAGAACAAATACGATCGTCCTTTCAACTTTAAATTGAGATTATGTGGAGATCAGGCTAAGGAGCCCAAGCATAGAATACAAGAACCAATTTATAAAAACATTGAAAGAAAACTATTTAACCTAAATTTATTTCCCCAGATATTCATTCCTTATTGGCTAAGTGTATATAACTAAATGTGTAAAATGTAAAATATGAAGATTATAAGCCTCAATAACATACTTCTTTCTAAATCTCTAAAAGCATAAGCCACATTCCAAAGTGTTGTGCTTTCCTAGTGCCACTTTGAAGGCTGGCACTAGAGAGAGCGCACGGAGGACACAAAGGGAGCTGTCTCCTCTGGTCAGCCTCCTTCTACAGGAGGAGATGTAGTTAGGTACAAGGGGATGCTCCGACCTTTAAGGACATTATCCCACTCTCTGTCCCTCTCCAAACACACCTGCCCAAAACAGCTCTAGCTGGACATCGCTTTTTTTTTTTTTAGATAAAAATATGAGTTAAAAACTGTGGCTCAAAGGAAAATAGCAAGGTTTGACTAAATAAGGGCAAATGGGTTTTGAAGTGTTAGTGTGTGCTGCTGAAACCTTTATTAGGGTGAACTGTTAAAATAAGAGGAAAGGAACATTGATTTTAAAACGTGTAAAACCTGGAAAAGATACTAGGAATGAATGGAAAGAAAAGTGTGGATTCACTAAATAAGCACACAGACCAAATATACCCAAATACTAGTTTCCTGGCAACAGGCTTCTTATATATTTGGATGTCAGCAAAATGACTCTCCAAGGTTAGGAAGTTGTAAAGAAAAATATCAAACACTTTTGCTATACTCTTTGAGTAGAGGGCTAACAAATTAGGCAAAATCACTTAAAATCCCATTCTATTTCCTATCCTCAATTTTCTGTTTCGAGGGCAGCTGTAACAAGAGCTCATGTAACAAGTTTCTTCCCCTTGGATTTTGCTGGACTGAAGCATTTGACTCCTGATCCGCTTCCTACCTGCCCTAGGTAATTCCTTAGTATGTACTTATGTCTTCTTATCAAATAACTGATCATGTTACTTTCTTTTTTAAGAGAAGATCAACACTGATTGTTTGAAACAGACAGTACAGGGACACACATGCATCAGGTCTAGGAGGAAGATCTCACACCTTTCCCAGAGATGCAGCCCACTTCCTTCCTTATCTGCTGAGTTTACTGGCTGGCTTACTCTTCCCTGGGGGAGTTTTAGAGCTGGCTGAGTGGTGGTGGAGGCTGCCAGATCCTTTTGAGCCATTCTTGCTGGGTTTGCAGTGCTCTTGTTGACAGGACCTCCTGGAGGATGATGATCCTGAGTGGCTGGGGGGTGACTTGCTTCTCCCCAGATGTGGGGACGAACTCCTCTGGTCATGGTGGGGTCGTCCAGCCCTAGACGGTGAGGAACTAGATGTTCGAGGCAAGGATGAACTTCGAGGAGAGGCACTGGGACTCCTGCGAGGTACAACTGGACTCTTGGGTGGTGTTTTTGGATTGTGAGGAGATCCTGGGCTCTTGGATTGAGGAGTACTCCGGGGTTTCTGAGATCCATTTTGAAGAATTTGGGCCAGGCGAGAGAAAAGGTCTGAGTCAGAGTTACTACTCCCTAGAACTTTGTATCTGCGTAACCTTAAAAGAATAGAGAAGAATTAATTATTTTGGATATGGGACCTCAAAAATTCATTATAACTGTGCCTAAAAGCCATAGTATCCCAAATTATAATTTTATGATGTATGTCAAAACCAGGAAATACACTAAAGAGATACTTAGTTTCTTTTTCACATGTACACTGTATGTGACACTAGACAGAGAACATCTGCTATGTCTCTTTTTCCTTTGGATTAATATTTGTTTCCTTTGACAAGGAAACAATGTAGGCTTCCTATGTAGCCTACATTGGTCAGGAGCTCAGTATGTAACCCAGGCCAAGCTGGCCTTAGCGTGACATTTTCCTGCCTCAGCTTCCCAGGCAGTAGGATTCTAGATATTTACCATCTCTTAGCTTTCCATCGTTCCTGACTAAACATACCTTAGTTTGTATGGTTTTTAAAATCCCAATAGGGAGCCAGGGGAATGACTTGGTAGGTAAAGGCTCTTGCCATGAAAGCTTGGTGACTTGAGTTTGATCCCTGGAACCAACATAAAGGTGGGAAGAGAGAACCAATTCCACAAGGTTGCCCTTATCACACATGCACACTCTCACATAATTTTAAGTAAAGACTTTAATCTTTAAAGGGCTCTGTTATATAGTCAGGTTAACTACCTATTCTCTTGCTTCAGAATTTCCCAAGTGTCATCATTGCCCGCATGTCTAGCAGTAATCAAAATTTTTTGTTTTTATAATGGTTTTCTAAGACAGGCTCTCAAGTGATTGGGCTGAAACTCATTGTGTATTGCCTTGAACTTGTTCTGCCTCAGTCTCTCAAGTGTTGGCATCCACGTGTACTATCACAGCCATCTTTATAATCAATTCATACGGAAGTATGGGTTGTCTCTGTACCATCTTTATTAGTTTAATCCTTAAGGTCTTAAGCTACTGTTAATAACAAAGTGGAATGTTAGTCTGACTGGCATTTAGAGGTAGGGCCTTTGGGAAGTGATTAGATTCCATGAGAGTAAAGGGAGACTCACATATGTAGAAATACACAAGTGTTCATATGTTGTGACTAAGGGGGTGGGACACTATTTAGAATTCCAGTGAACTTCTTTAGAATCTCATTCTCCTAAGTTAGTCTGTCTCTTGTAAATGATTATAAGAACAATAAGCTGAGTAGTATGTCAGGTTTTAAGTAGAGAATATATATATATATATATATATATGCGGACATTTTTTTTTGATGCCAGGAACCTCTCCCACCTAGAAAACAAATGCAGAGAAGAGTCTGTTGAATGTAGTTATTTTAGAAATCTGAAGTGAATTAAAAGCTTGCAATACACAGAGGAAAACTTGGATCATAAGCTTCAGTTAACTTTGTCAATTTCAGATTTTAGCAAGGTAGTAGCTACCCATCCCACCTTCAGCCCTGTGGCAGTAATAGTTTCTAAAGCAGTTGGCATACAACTTGAAGGAATCAGACTAAGCAAACAAAACAAACAAAAACTATCCTTAGGCTGTAGATATAGCTCAGAAGCTAAGAGTACAATGCTTCCAAAGGATCAGCACCCACATTGGGCAACTCATGACCGCTTTTAACTAGCTACAAGGGATCCTACACCCTTTTCTGGCCTCTGAGGGCACCTGCCACATGCACACATACCCTCTCCTCCATTAAAAATAAAATCTTTGGGGAAAAAAAAAAGTCTGTTTGGAGGCTCTGTGTTCTAGTTGCTCTTTGTCCCCACCCCCGATGCCAGCACAGCTATGAATGATGCCAACAACAATGACACTGCCAATGGTTGATGATCAAGGTGCACAGCACCAGCATGAGCTTCAAAGTTTTGAATAATAAATTCTCAGTAAAAATAATCAACAAGTTGTTATGGCTTATATCAATGCAAACTAGGAAAGATAATTTTCTCAGATGCCTTGGGAGTATTCAACATTCATTATAGTTTTATGAGAAATAAGTATAGGCTAACCTGCATACAATGCTGAACAGAAAAACGATCCAATAACAAAAGCTACAAATTAATTTACATTCTGCTTCAGTAGTACTACTCCTCTAATTTCCCATTTCTTCTAAGTACATGAATTAATGCGTAATTTTCTCATTCTGCAAGTTCCAATGGTAATAATACAAACATTTTCTTGCTAGCGCTGAGAATCTTACAAGGTCCTAACCCTTGTGTTTACTAACCAGATCAACTATCAAGAAATTGCCTAATGAGAATATGAGCAAAGGGGTCAAGACCATGATGGGCGCACCCACTGAAACAGTCTACCTGAGCCATAGGAGCTCACCAACTCCAGCTGGACTGGGAAGGAACAAGCATAGGACCAAACTAGTCCCTCTGAATGTGGTTGACAGTTGCATGGATGGGGCGGACTGAGGGGCCCCTAGCAGTGGCACCAGGATTTATCCCTATTGCATGCACTGGCTTTTTGGGAACACATTCTCTTTGGATGGATACCTTGCTCAGCCTAAATATACTAGGAAGGGCCTTGGACCTTCCCCAAAGCAATGTGCCTTACCCTCTCTGAGGAATGGATGGGGGTGAGGTGGGAGGGTATGTGGAGGGAATGGAAGGAGAGGAGGGAGTGGGAACTTGAATTGGTATGTATAATGAAAAGTTTGTTTTCTTTTTTAAAATAAAAATAGATAATAAAAAAAGAAAAAAAGAAATTGCCTAGTGATACAAATGACTTATGCTACATTATTCAAAGTGATAGGATGGGACATTTCAGAGGCTGGTATATTTTTATTTTGTTTAGTTTTAATTTTAGGAGTTCGAGCATATGGTGGTAACTTCAAAGATAATTGTCCCATTAGGGGGTGATGGCGCATGCCTTTAATCCCACCACTTGGGAGGCAGAGGCAGGTAAATCCCTGTGAGTTTGAGGCCAGCCTGGTCTACAAGAGCTAGTTCCAGGACAGGCTCCAAAACCACAGAGAAACCCTGTCTCTAAGACCAAAAAAAAAAAAAAAAAAAAAAAAGGATAATCATACTTTATACAGAAGTCTCATTTGCCTTTTACATGAATTTAGAATAGAAACACAACACAGTAATTAAAAAGGTACACTAATATTTTTAAATGCAATCAATTAGTAGGTTTATGTAGCATTTACCAATGCTTAACTATTAAGTCTATTTTAAATAAAGTACCAGAAAACAGCACATTAAACAACAAAACAGATTGCTGGTCAAGTTTAGACTATTCACAGGAACTACAGTGACAACAACAGTTTGATGCATGGAGAACAACCACAATGAAGATGTGAAGTTTCATTTGCCCTTCTCTTCTGTGTTGTCTAGTAGAGCAAATGACCCTGCCTTAAACCCTCCACTATCACCCAGTGGTATTGCTACCTAAATAAGGCTTTCCTGTAAATCTTATATAAATTTGGTACAGAAAGTCCAACTCCCCCAACCATGTATGAATAAACTTTCTGCAAAACTAAAATGATAATAAATGACTTTATATTTTACAACCTTAGAAACTACTAATAAAAGTGGAAAGTGATATCAAGGCCATTTGGCAAAAAAAAAGGTCTTTGATTTTCAAAAGAGAAATGGAAAAGTGGATGGGGGTGAAATGGAAGGAGAGGATGGGGGAGAAACTAGACAGGATGATAAAACTAAAAAATAAAAGAAATGAAAAGAATATTTACTGTGAGATGCAGAAATTCAATAGTCTTATTTACATAACCATATATAAACTTTATAGTACAATCACGTGGCTACTCATCAAGAACCACATTTGGGTACTCATGTTTACTTAGAATCACATTATGTTCTATGTGAGGTAAACAAAACAACCTGTCAAGCTCAGACAGCCAAGACATAATCAACTTTATAAAAAGCAACCTATCAATAGCATTCCTGGTGATTAAGAAATAACCACAAAATATTATACATTANAAAAACCAAAAAAAAAAAAAAAAAAAAAAAGGATAATCGTCCCATTGGTTGAAAATTCCTTTTATTCTGCTGGCTTAAGTCTGAAAAAAAATATGGCATTAAACTTTATTTTAATGTGCTCTATCTAGTTTTTCGTTGCTGTTCTCATGATATGTAAGAGCGGCCGCCCACTACCTCTGCTTGTATCTCTGTCCATCACTGTAAGCCCCCTTTTCTGTGACTGAAGTGATTTTCAGGGACACAAAGAACTAGTATTTTCTCACTCTACCTCTACTTTTCTCTCTTTTCCCTCTAAGAAACTAAATATTAAAGACTAGGGCAGGCTGGAGAGTTGACTCAGTGGGGAAAGATGCTTTGCCTCCAAGTTTGGTGACCTAAGGTCAACCCCCAGAACCTACATGATGGAAGAAAAGAACCAGCTCCCTCCAGCTGATCTCTGGCTGCCACACAAGTGCGATGGTGTGTAAGCACATTTGAACAGTGAGAAGAAGAAAACGGTAAGATAGGATTGCAGAAGAGAGTTAAGACTCTAACAAGTGGACTGATGGAGGTACCATAGGAGTTGCAGAAGGAAAAGAGAGAAAGAAGAGACTGCCTGAAGAACAGCAGGAGACTCCCAAGACAGAACACCCAGGAAGCTCAATGAACTCTGAGCAGGATAACCCCAAAGTTACCGAATCAGTTATCATCAAACCAAGACACAGTCAAATTGTCAAGAGTCTTGGGAACAGCAAGACATAAATAGCTTGTTAGATATAAGGAGTCTGCAAAGACTTTTCTCACCAGAACTTCTGGAGGTCAAAGGGCAATAGTCTGAGGTCTGAGATTTTTTTTTAAGATTTATTTATTATGTATATAGTGTTGTGCCTACATGTATACCTTCAGGGCAGAAGAGGGTACCAGATCTCAGAGATGGTTTTGAGTCACCATATGGTTGCTGGGAATTGAACTCTGGAAGAACAGCAAGAGCCCTTAACATCTGAGCTACCTCTCCAGCCCTGAGGGCTGAGATTTTTAAAGCTCTAAGAAAAGAACTGTCAATCAAGAATCCCATGTTGAGAAAGTATCCCTCAAAGATGAGGGAAAAATGATGATACTGTGGGTAAGAGCCGAGGTAGTGTCTTGGCAGTATAGCTGAGAGGTAGAGTATGTCCTTAGCATGCGTGAGACCCTGGGTTCAATACCTGTACTACATAACCACTGACATTACCATCAGACCTGCATCTAGCAATGCAAGCTGAATGAAGTTACTGCAGTTTGAAATGAGGGTATACTAGAGAGTAACTTGAAGCCTACAGAGGATCAGGAGTTCAAGGCCAGTTTGAGCTATAAAAGCTCTTATTGCAAAAGCAAAACTAAACAATTATAAGCTTATGTTTGGGGATATAAAATGAAGATGTACTCTTATATCTGAACAAGTACAAGGTCTGGGGATGGAAACTTAAAGGAGCATTACACTGCTAAAAACCCAATTAGAATGCTGGAACTTCGGGACAGTCTGTGTACTCCATGTTGACCACAATGAAACAGGCACAACATACACAATAGGAAAAATAAAGGAGTTTAAAGTTTCACCACACACATACACACACCAGTAGGAAAGAAAACAGATACAATAAACAAAGAACAAAATGCTTTAAGGCAGGGCCAGCAAATGGTTCAGCAGCAAAGGTGCTTGTCAGCCTGACAGCCTGAGTTGGATCCTGAGACCCACAAAGTAGAAGGAAAGAACCAAGACCCACAAGCTGTCCTTGATCTCTGTGTCTACAAAGGCACACTCAGGCACACACACAAATGTAAATAAACAAAACGTTGTACAGCCACTATAAAACAAACACCAAAATTGCTGGGTGGTGGTGACTCACACCTTTAATCCCAGCACTCAAGGAGGCATGGGCAGGCAGATCTCTGTGAGTTTGAGGCTAACCTGATCTATAGAGTGAGTTCCAGGTCAGAGATATATAGGGAACCTTGTCTCAAAAAACTAAACCAAAACAAAACAAAAAACAAACAAAAAAAACCCGCCCACCAAAATGATATAAATTCCTTTCCTCTCAAACATCTTTAGAAGAAAGGAAATTCTGCTAGACACTAACATGAATGACCTAAAGCCTTTCTGCTAAGAAAAATAGGTCAGCTACAGAACAAATACTACAGATTCTACACTTACCAGAAGTGTTTATAGTAACAAAAAACATAAAAAAAAAACAACAACAAAAAAGATGAGTGTTGCTGGGACTGAGTTTCAATTTTCTATGATGAAGAGAACCTGAGAAGTGGATGGTTGCATGGCAAAATTAACACAGTTAATGCCACTGAAAAGAACTCTTAAAATGAGTAAGATGGTAAATTTTATGTTTATTTTGTCACAGTAGAAACAAAATGTATAGTCTTGGGTCAATCTATACTGTGCCCTAAGGCTTGTGAAAGGGAGAGAAGAAAACATGCTCAAAAGAAGCACTACCACTGATGTCATACAGTAAAGCACACTTGAAAACACCAATACATGCTACACACACGGAAAGCATTAAGCCTTACCTGGCTTCTACTCCAGGCCTGATTGGTGGCTTTCCTGGTGGCGGCCTAGGCAAGAACTGAGGTGAAGCTGAGCTGTTAACTTGATCCGTGCTGACCCAGGAAACTGGCCTTGGAATCTTGCTCTTTCTAGACTGGGAGAGGATGGGTGACAGAAAGCCATCTTCAGCTGATCTACTCATGTGGGAATCTACGGCCAGACGGGAAAAGGGAGTGAAGACTTCCTCCTCAGAAAAGGGAACAGGAGCAGCAGCTAATTTCTCCTCTAGCAGCTTCTCAGAGGCACTTGAAAGGTCCCCCAAGAAAGACTTGAACTGCCTTTTTTCCACCAGAAGTTTGACAAGTTCTGGCTGGTAGGCTTTCTTCTGTAGAAGCTTTTCTTTTGCAGAGACTGCAGAGGATGATTCAAAAGCTGAGTCTATTTCTTGTGCTAAAACAGGAATCCGGCTGTGCCTGGTTACAAAGGATGCCCGAAGCATGTCCTTGCGGGTGGGAGGACCATGACTCTCTGAGACACAATGATACAGCTCTCCATTCCTAGGAACAACTTTATCTCTCTTTCCCTCTTGGTGTAAAAAAGTAGAGAGGTCCCCCTGATGTCCGGGCACATCTTCACTCCTAATGTCAGCACCCTTAAATAGCTTATTGTTTTGCATTGCTGCCACCTGGCCCATCTGCCCTTCAGCATGTGGGTCAATGACTTGTTGAGAAATTTCTGAAGTTCCAACTGCCAAAAGCTTCATTATCTCATGGTTTTTGTCCTGATTTGGCACCACACTAAAATTCTGTGTCTTTGATACATCAAGAGGTTCTGTGGTAGCTGACTGATCCCTTTCTGCAGTCACAAACTCTCCTGGGAGAGAAATTTCAACGCAATGCTGTCCTTTAACTAACTTCTCATCTTCATTATCTGAGCCCAGAAGAATGCTTTTTTCCTCTGTTTCTCCTGGGAGATTTTCAAATTCTTTCACAACTAGTCTATTATGGTCAGGAAGGTCTTTTGGTCCCAAGTCCTGAGATGTATCGCCGTCTCTGACATTGGGTAATAAGTCATGGCTAACATGATCTATCTGGAGTCCCAAATCCATTCTGCTTCCTCCACTAGGAAGTTCGCCTTCTGTTACAACCAAGCATGAGAAGTTTTCCCTTGGAGAATAAAGTTCCACAGTGGGTTCCAAGGGCTGAAGGTCTTTCTTTTCTGGTTGTAGACCACAGTGAAAGCTTCCTGAAGTTGACTGTGTTGATGCCACAGAAGGTCTAGGAATTGTAATCTGGAGAAGTGGGGAAAAACGTAAAACATCTAATTATGTGGGTTATCAGTCAGATGCATGATTTGAGATATAATACAATTTGTAAGAGTAGCAAAGATGTTTTTAGGCTTGGGAGCAAGCACCTTACTCACTAGACAATCTTGCCTGTCAGTGTGTGTGTGTGTGTGTGTGTGTGTGTGTGGTGTGTTTTGCCGGGGGTCCTTCCACCGTGTAGGTCCTAGGAATTAAACTCTGGTCATATCTCCTCAGTCATCTTTGCTGGCCCTCTAGTATATTTTTATAATAATATTAAAATCTAAAATTCACAGTACATCACTTTTTTAAAGTTCCCTTTTAAGACCTACTGTGGAAATAGAAAAGTAGATGTGAAATGACATTGGGAGGTAAACATCTACATTCACAATAAACCGAGAGCAGTCGCCCTAGTAGTGTATGTAATTCCAATACTGATCCAAAACAAATGGAACAATGTTTACAAGGGCAATGCTTTACTGGCCTTTTGGGAATGAAGCCAGAAATAACTCCTACAGATCTGAGATTGACTCCTTTGATCATCTTATGACCTGTGTGTGTGTGTGCATGCATGACTAACAATCTTATAAGGAAAATGTGTATGAACGGCTAGACAGAATTTAAGGCAATTATAACAAACTGTACATGACTTACTCTCATGTAACATCTCATAGCCTTTTGAATTTTATAAAATATTCAAACTCATTTCTATAAATTCTATAACACTGCTATTTTTGTTTCCCCCAAATTTAATTGAATTCCATTATTAATACGAGTTCATAAATGAAGAAAAACAAAGCCAAAAAAAAGTCACAGACAGGACATGAGGGTCTGGAAAGCCACACACACCACAGTCTACTACTGACACAGCATCTGCTCTCAGTCTGTAAAAACCCTGAAGAGAAGAAAAGAGAAAACCCAGGGCCAAGAGAAAACTGATTCAAAGTGTAGCTGCAAATACTTCTGTTAACCTTGAAGTTCAAAGACAAACACAACCCCTGTACTTACAACATGCTACCTATAGACTAAGCAGTAACCTCGCATAAGCTGTTTGCACCTTTCATACCATGAACTTCTGCACCTCATAACGGTTAGATGATAACTTTTTTATGATTATAATATTTATATCTACCTTATCTTTTTATTTTTCTTTTTTTAAATTTATTTATTTATTAAAGATTTCTGTCTCTTCCCCACCGCCTCCCCTTTCCTTCCCCCTCCCCCAATCAAGTCCCCCTCCCTCGTCAGCCCAAAGAGCAATCAGGGTTCCCTGCCCTGTGGGTAGTCCAAGGACCACCCACCTCCATCCAGGTCTAGTAAGGTGAGCATCCAAACTGCTTAGGCTCCCCCCACGAAACCAATAGGTTCAGTAGGATCAAAAACCCATTGCCATTGTTCTTGAGGTCTCAGTAGTCCTCATTGTCCGCTATGTTCAGCAAGTCGATAACTTTTTTCTTTTAAGACAAGGTTTTGCTATGCAGCCCAGGCTGACTTTGGGTTTATAACTATCTTCGTGCGTTAGTCTCTGGGATTAGAGGCAAGAGCCACCATGCCCAGCAAAGGCACACTATTTCTATCGCTCTATTCTTGTCCTTGACTTGTGTCACCCATGCCTTTCTGCAGACTAACGACATCACCTTCATAGTCTCCGCTTCCTTCATGTTCCCATAGTTTTATTAATGCCCAATATTAAAACCTACATACTAATGAGTATAGAAGTCTTATTATTTATTTATTACAATCAAAGAAATAATCAAATAGAATTACTTTAATAGTTCAGGAAGAATAGCACTAATTTTTTAGTAACATGTTAAGAGTTGGCTACACAGCAGGAGACCATATGAATCAACTACCCTATCCATTTTAACTTATGAATCACACGTTGTTTTTTTCTTGCTCAAGGATAATAAAAGCCTTGGAAAATTAAATACTTGCACCAAATAGCCTGGTTTTTTGTTTTGCTTTGTTTGATATAACATGGAAGGTATAACATCTATATCTCATATTGACCCACGGACAAGGACAATTTAGAAGTACAAGATACAAGTATTAGAATAATGTATTACTTATGACATTGCCCAAAATAATCAAATTACAAATTCCTGTCCTATCAAAACTTTACATTTTGGTGGGCGGTAGTGGCACACACCTTTAATCCCAGCACAGAGACAGGCATTATCTCTGTGTCTGAAACCAGCCTGGTCTATAGAGCGAGTTCTAGGACAGTCAAGACAGTCAAGGCTACACAAAGAAATCCTGTCTCAAAAAAACAAAAGCAAAAAATTACATTTTGGGGGTTAAAGAAATGGCTCAAGGGTTAAAAGTGCTTATTGCTCTTAAAAAGAATCTGAATTCAGTTCCCAGCACCCACAGAGCAGCTCACAGCTGTCTGTAACTCTTCCAGTCAAGGGGTCAGACACCCTGGCCTCTGTGGCCAGGCACAGCCATACATGCAGGCAAAACATCCATACACATAAATTTAAACAAAACAAAAAATAGTATAGTCTGGGGCAAAGGTAGGGGATGTAGCCCACACGCCTTTAATCTGCCCGCACTTGGGAAGAGGTGGATCTCTGGGGGTTCAAGGTCGAGACCAAGCCTGGTCTACTTAGTAAATTCCTTTATAGCTCAGGCTGGTTTGGAACACACAGCAATGCTCCTTTCTTGGTTTCCTGAGTATGGGGATTATAGGCATGAGTTTAAAAATCCTAAACCACTCGGGGTGGGGAAAATCCTAAACAAAACACAACTCAGGTTGGACTAGAAGTTAGCCGTAGCTTATGTAACTCTTGGGCTAGGCTTTTCTATGCCACAAACAACCTATAAAATTGTACAGAGAAGTCCTGGAGGGGACAGGATGGAAGATTAACTAAACTCTGATAGGAAAAGAAGTAAGAAGACATTTATTTCTCTATTTTGGAGCATTGACAATTCTTACAGAAGTGTTCCTAAAGAAAAAATTTCATCAGTATCTTTTCCAAGTGTTTTAAACCTGGTACATCCGCCTTAATCCCAGCACTTGGGAGGCAGAGGCAGGCGGATCTCTGTGAGTTCGAGGCCAGCCTGGTCTATAAGAGCTAGTGCCAGGACAGGCTCCAAAGCTAGAAACCCTGTCTCGAAAAACTAAAATAAATAAATAAATAAATAAACAAACAAACCTGGTACATCAAAATGTGTTTTAACAAAAAAAAATTCAATTTGGAAAATGATGCTGAGACTATTACGTTAGAAAGGAAGGCTGTCTAATGACTACAAAACTTAAGGAAGTCTGGCACAGGCTACCTATGTCAGAACAAGTGTGCTGTGTTGCAGTCCTTACCGTCTGAAGCTGGTTTTTCTGGATTCCTCCAGCTCACAAAGCTGCTGTTTACTTCAAAAAAGCAACTGTTTTTAATAGTGGCATGCTCAAGGCTGAGAACTGGCAGTACTGTTCCTCCAAAAGATTTCTTCCCAGAAAACTTGGTCACAGCTGCCTTCAAACACTTCAAAATGAAGTTTACTCTACCCCTGACTTAGAAACATAGAAGTTCTGAAAGCCAGACTTGAGATTCTGCATCCTACATAGTGGGCATCTCACAAGTAAGAGAAATGTAAAACATGAGAAATTTCTGGGTAGAGATTTCAAAAAAAGGCTTAGACCTGTTAACAGTATAAATGAACAAACTACAAATGGTTAAATGCAGGCCTATATTAGCAGACATAGAATGAAATTCTTCAATATGATAATGAAGAGTCCAAGAATAAGAAAATAAAAATGTAGATTCCAAAAGTAAGAATGTAAAAATAGAAATATATTTGAGTTATAAGTCTAGAAGAATGAGAACAGACTATCAGCAGCTTTCTCAGCAGATCAAGGATCAATCATTCACAGTGAGCTATTTTCTCAGATGCTTGGGAAGCCTCTATCAGTTTAGGTCATTTCAGTTTACAACTGGCTGTTTTATTTACAAGGCCAGGGCTTCTCCCTACAAATTGAGAGTAGTATCCTGGCTATCCCTGATGAACGACAGATATGAACTGAGTTAACCTTTAGGAGACAGAGATATGTGACCTCTGGGTTAGGCACCGTCTCTGTTACAGGAAACTGGCGCCACCAAATGAGAGGCTTGGGGCTCCAGTATACACTGCCTGGAGGTACCTGGAGACAGTGGACAAGGTACAAACACAGGTTGACTGATGAGCTCTGATAATTTCCTCTATCTTCTAAATTCTCAGCCTAAGAACCTGTTAATCCTAATGTATTAACCTTCTAGTATTACTAGCAGTCCCCTTTCTAATTGCTAAAGACATCCGTTTCTTGCAATTAGTGACTTTCGTTGTAATCTCCTCTGAAAAATATTTCATGATGGCTGCCTAGTTACCCATAGACATTAGAACTCACTCCCCTCTTTAGGGTCTCTGCTGACTAACGGAAAGGTCAGCGCAAGGTTGTAAAAATTCCTTTGCCCAGACCTAATGCTTGGCTCCTACTATAAAAAGTGGGTTCAGAAACGGGCCTTTTGCCACAGCCTAACAAACACCATCTCTGGCTGTGGTCTCAGCTAGCTGATAAGTTTCTGTGCTCCACGGTGTTTTTTATTTTTTATTTTTAAGTTTGTTTCTGGTTTTCCTAGGATCTGGTTTCTGAAATAAAGTTTGCTTCCAGTTTATTAGACTTGGTGGTGTTCTCATCTTTGTGCAACCCCCCTGGACCCAACAATAAAAATGTTTACAATAATTTGTATACATACACATATAAGCAGGCAGATCTTGTAGTCTAATTATGAATGTTGCAAAATTAAGTTATAATGCTAGTTCATGTATTAAGTTTAATGTAACAAAGAAAAGTTCACTAAAATTATTATTTTCTTTCTTCTTTTTTTCCCCAAGACAGGGTCTCATAATTAGCTCCAGCTAACCTGAAGCTCACTCTGTAGACCAGGCTGGCCTTAAACTCACAGAGATCTACTTCCCAAGTACTGGGATTAAAGGCATGCGCCGCCGCCACCACCACCAGGCTTTATTTTTTCATTATTGCAGGTTGACTATAGAATTCTGCATAAAAACTATGTTTACATGTACCCATTTGCTAAACTTAAGCCTCTAATTATTGTCCAATCTTAACTGATCTACTAACCTACCTTCTCTTTTCTGCTTTTGTTTATTTATTTATTTTGACATAAGTGTTTCGGTCTGTAGCCCAGGTTGCCCGGGGCTATGTATCCCAGACTAGCTTGACTTTACAGTGGTTCGGTCTCTCTCTCTCTCTCTCTCTCTCTCTCTCTCTCTCTCTCTCTCTCTCTCTCTTTTTTTTTTTTTTACAAATTCACAAAAAGGACTTTTTAATGAAAGCAGCTGACAAAAGAACTATCAGTAACATGATAAAACAGACATCAGTTCCCTCTATTCTGTGGTAGGACTCTGGCACAGAACACAGGAAAGATGCCTTTATTGTTACACAGGAAAATGACTAGTTATTTCAATTCTTATCAAGATAAACAAAAGAACTGAAATAAAATATAAACATTTAAAAAAGTCAAAGTTCATTTTAATAAAGCCATGAACTTGAACAGTTACTGTGAGCTACAAACCTGGAATAGGAATAGTTTGTTCTTCAAAAGCATCTCATCTGCTCTCAGTTAACTTAATGCTTTTTTGTTTGTTTTTTGTTTTTCGAGACAGGGTCCCCATAGTTTTTAGAGCCTGTCCTGGAATTAGCTCTTGTAGACCAGGCTGACCTCAAACTCACAGAGATCCACCTGCCTCTGCCTCCCAGGTGCTGGGATTAAAGGCATGTGCCACTACTGCTAGGCTAACTTGATGCTTTCTTAACTAAATCCCAAATCTAGAAGGAGAGATGTGTGACCTGTCAGCACAGCGACACCAAGACCACTCAGGCTCTGAACAGCCTGAGGTATTCTGCTTCCACCGCAAATGAGGAGTGGTGCTTGGAAAAAAGAGGTCTGAAGGGAAGACGAGAAGAATTACTGCAAAGATAGGTAAGGCCACAGTGAGCTCTGCCCTTGAACACACAGTGTCCTCTTTCTATGGCTTTTTAAATTCTGGGGTTATAGCTGCGAACCACCATGCCACCTAACCTTTCTTTTTCTTCTCTCTTTCTCTCTCTCTCTCTCTGTGCATGTATGCATGTGGTTGTGTAAGAACGTGCTTGTACGTGTGGGACACACCTTATTTTTTGAGACAGGATCTCACTAGATCTGGAACTCAGTGATTTGGCTAGACTGGCTGGCCTTAAGCTCCAGGGTCCCGTTTGTCTTTGTCCCCGGCCCCACACATACTCTAACTTAGTGCTGTAACTTAGTTACAGATGTGTACTGCCATGCCTGGGTTTCATGTGGGTGCTGAGTATCTGAAGTCAGGTCCTCATATATGCACAACAAATAATTTACTGATTGAGTCATTTTCCTAGCTCTAGTTTTCTCTTTTTGTTGTTGTTATTTTGAGAAAAGGTCTCACTGTGTATCCCTGGCTGTCCTAGAACTCACTACGTAAAAGAATCTAGCCTCAAACTCAGAGATCAACCTACCTCTACTTCCTGAGTCCTGAGATTGAAAATGTGTATAACCACACCCAGTTCGGGCTTTTTTTTTTTTTTTTAATTTAGCACATTGAGCAGACAACACAAAATAACAACAAAAGCAGTTTCTTACCGCAGTCAGGGGTCCTTCTGCTTGTGCCTCCATTGGACTTGTGGGAGTAACTGTGATGAACTGACTAGCAGCTCCAGCCTGGAGGTCTAGCCTATCTGTGTACTGTTCTGAAGCAGCAGTGGCAGGACCTTCTGCAGAAAGTGCTAAGACCACACCTGAGCTTTCCTTTAAGTGACGGTTGTCAGTCCAAGGACCTACTTGGATCTTTTCATCTTGAGGAGACCCTTCAAGGACCTGAAGCACTTCAGGCTCCTCGTCTGAAGGGCTTCCAGTTGTTTTATGGCCTAACACCTCATTTGTCCTAAAGTCCTGAAGGTCTTGCTCCTTGTCCACAATCACCCATTCTTTGGAATCAACCTCCTGCTTGCAAGAGCTTAAATTAACAGCTATAAATCCATTGCTGCCACCACCATCTGCTTGCTCTGGTGTGTTAGCAGAGGCAGGTTTGGAGGCATCAGGAAGGTATTCTTCATCATAGTGCCAGACGTGGTCAGTGCGGGACACAACAGGAACGCAAGGCTTCTGAGGCAGAGCAGGGAGAACAGACTCCTTTCCTGCACTGGATTCTTTCTGCATTTTCTCCATGCTTAAGGAGAGAGAAAAACGTTACTCAGTTGTCCTTAGAGAAGCAATCATGAGATACTGATAAACTCTATGTGACAAACATTCTTGCACAAGTGTGATGAGTACGTATGAAAAAACCACAGGGGATTTCACAGAGTTGAAGTTCTCTACTTGCCACTCCTGCTCTTCCTCAACACTCTCCACTCTCAGAGTCTCTTTTGTTAGCTGGAGTCCTTGCCAAACTAAGTTTTTACTCCTATTGCTCTCTTACATCTATTTCTGATCTTAACTGTAATTCATAATGGTTAAAGCATTGTTCAAGTCTAATCCATCCATTTGATCATGTCTGGATATATAATAATGGATAATCTTATAATCTTGCATTTCTGACCCTTCTGCCTCTACTTTCTTAGAACTGAGATTACAGGCATATACTTTTTTTTTCCTTTTTTTTTTTTTTTTTTTTTTTGATTCAGCTCTGGATGATCTGGAACTCTCTGTTCTCAAAAACAGAGATATGCCTGCCTCTGTCTTCCCAAGTGCTGGGATTAAAGGTGTGTGCCATAACCACCTGGCTTAAACTATTTTTTTTTTTTTTTGGTTTTTCGAGACAGGGTTTCTCTATGGTTTTGGAGCCTGTCCTGGAACTAGCTCTTGTAGACCAGGCTGGTCTCGAACTCACAGAGATCCGCCTGCCTCTGCCTCCTGAGTGCTGGGATTAAAGGAGTGTGCCACCACTGCCCGGCTACAGGCACATACTAACTACAACACAAAGTTTATGTCTTTCTGGGGACTGAACACAGGGCCTCATATATGGTAGGCAGGCACTCTACCAACTGAATTAGACCCCCAGGCTAAACCATAGCCTCTCTTAACCTAACATTTCATTGCCAACAGTTCCACCACATACATCTTAATCCTCTTGAAGCCTTTTATTAATTGTAAATATACCTCAAATCTTACATTTTTATTTCCATCTTGTTACCAAAATTTGTTATACTGATCAAAAACAACAATCGTTAGATATTTATACATAGATCTCTAAAGTTTAGCCTTTCTTCTTTCCTGGGAGGTGTGAGTGCTGCAGGGCACGGTGACAAACTTACTACTATGTATTTTGCCACCGCTTCTTTTCTCTGTGTGTGCCCCACATTCCTGTCAGTGTGATCTTCACCGTGCCCTTCAACCTCTACACTGCTGCCTCTAAGAGTTCACTTTCTAACAAGGCCACAGAAAGTATGTTCATCTTATTACTGTATCTGGCTTTAGGAAGTTCATCAGCACTCTCAAAGACAAAGACTTTGCTATAAAATTTGTAATGATATTAGACAAGTCAAATTAAGAATGATGATGATATATAACGATATATATACAGCCGGGCGGTGGTGGCGCACACCTTTAATCCCAGCACTGGGGAGGCAGAGGCAGGCGGATCTCTGTGAGTTCGAGACCAGCCTGGTCTACAAGACCTAGTTCCAGGACAGGCTCCAAAGCTACACAGAGAAACTAACCCTGTCTTGAAAATCCAACCAACAAACAAACAAACAAAAAAACCCTATGATATTGAAAGACTCTAAATGCATTTCTGAGGCCTCTCAGCTCTAAAGACATTTCCTGAAGCATCTTAACATTTGAAAACTGGACAGTCACCCCCCCACACACACACATGCTGGACTGCTTATCTGCTTGTGTCCTTGTAAATAACCACATGCTGGACTGCTCATCCCCCTGTGTCCTTGAGAATAATCTCCATTTTGGGAATTGAGGCAAATACAACCCACAGATTTTGACTCAGTTCCTGATGTATTGATTTAGTCACTGAACCAAAGGTCAGGAAGGCCACAGAGATGCTCTCCCTTATCACCTGACCACACAGCTATTCTCCTGCCCTAAAATAGACCAATCACTACTAGTAACCCTTTGAATAAGCCAATCCAATAAGTTGGAAAACAACCTACAGGTCCCCCCCTTGTGTCTGTGGCTTTTTGCTTTAAAAGATGGACTGTAACAGCTATCGTTGTCCTTCATATCCTGAACCTGAAGGATCCTGTCATGACAGAATAAAAATCCTCTTGCTTTTGCATCAATTTGTGGTTATGTGAATGGTGTCTGGAGCAACTCTTCCCTGATGTTCAGACTTCTAGTCCAACAATATAAACAACTGGAAACTTAATGGAGTCAGTAATATAAAAACACAAGAATTTCTTATTTGAAAGAATTTTCACAATGGATATAAAAGGAAAATAAAAAATATATTACATACCAGGTCTCAAGAAATTTGTCGGTATCTGGCTTTGGCTCCAGTGTCAGACGCTTTTCTAGCTCAAAGCTGTGAATGGAACGTAGTTTTCTTACTAACGGGACATCCCTATCTGGCTGCGTAATCTCTGATCGGACACGAACTGGCGAACCAAGGCTTGGAGCATTGAGAATACCATTTACTTGACCATGGCTATTTTCTTCTTCAGTAGCAGCCTAGGAAAAAAATATAAAATAGAATCATGAAAAATAGTCCAGATATTATACATGGGAGAATCACTGAAGCCTTTGAAATAATATCAGCAAATGGTTACATATGTTTTCAGAAAATTATTATTATTATTATTAATGTATTTGTTTATTTTGGTTGTTTTGAGACAGGGTTTCTCTCTGTAACAGCCCTATCTGTCCTGGAACTTTGTAGATCAGGCTGGCCTTGAACTCACAGAGATCCACCTGCCGCTGCCCCCCAAGTGCTGGGATTAAAGGTGTGCACCACCTGGCTCTAAATTTTTTTTTTAATTTTAACCTTGAAAATTGCATCTATGTATTTGCTTATTTACTTACTGTATATCTATGGATATGTGTTGTAGATTATTTGTTTACATTGTAAAGAAAGATGTGTCTTTGCCAAGATGCTTTCTGATTGGTTTCATAAAGAGCTGAATGACCCAGTAGCTAGGCAGGAGATATAGGCAGGATTTCCGGGGAGAGATAGAAAGAGATGATAAATCAAGCATGAGAGAGACGCCACGGAGATACAGGGAGAATAAAAGGTAAAAAGTTATATAAAAAGCAGGTTAATTCTGGGTGGTGGTGGGGCATGCCTTTAATCCCAGCACTTGGGAGGCAGAGGTAGGTGGATTTCTGTGAGTTCGAGGCCGGCCTAGTTCCAGGACAAGTCCCAAAGCTACGGAGAAACCCTGTCTTGAAAAACCTAAAAAAACAAGGTTAATTTAAGTTATAAAAGTTAGTTAGAAACAAGCCTAAGCTAAGGCTGAGCTTTCTTCTTCTCTTTTCTTTCTTTCTAGACCAGGCTAGCCTTGAATTTTCTGTTTATTAATCCTTTGTACTAAGTTTATACTAGGTTTATACTCAGTTTTAGTATTAATTTACTTATTTTAAAAGTATTTTTGGAGCCGGGCGATGGTGACGCAAGCCTTTAATCCCAGCACTCGGGAGGCAGAGGCAGGCGGATCTCTGTGAGTTCGAGGCCAGCCTGGTCTACAAGAGCTAGTTCCAGGACAGGCTCCAAAGCTACAGAGAAACCCTGTCTTGGGGAAAAAAAAAAAAGTATTTTTGGAGCTGGGGTGTGATAATGCATGCCTTTAATCCCAGCACTCAGGAGGCAGAAACAGGTAGATCTCTGTGAGTTCGAAGCTAGCCTGGCCTGTAGAGTGAGTTCAAGGATACGTTCCAAAGTTAGGCAGAGAAACCCTGTCATGAAAAACAAAACCAAAAACAAAACAAAACAAAAAAGTATTTTCGGTACAAGAATAGTCTAAAACTGCTAAAGACCTTCACTTCTTACATTATATCTATCTAGATGCTTGCAGAACCCTATTCTACTATACTAAAACTAAATCCTGGAAAGGATGTTGTCTTTGAAAACAGGAGAGACTACTAAAATTCTTATACACCTTTCTCATTCCCTCTCTTAAAAGCAAATAGACAACAAGAAGCTGCCAGGGCAGAGTGGAAGGCCAGGCATGGAGTAAGTAACACAAAGGGCTGAGTTACTAGAGACTACATAGAGTCTGTCTCTAACCAACCAATCAACCAACCAACGCCAACAATCCAGATCTCTCAGGCTGGAGAGATGGTTCAGCGGTTACTAGCACTTGCTGCTCATGCAGGGACTTGGGTTCACTTCCCAGCACCCACATGGTGGGTCACATCTTCTCTTAACTCCAGTTCCAGGGGCTCTGACACCCTTTTCTGACCTCTGTGGGCACTAGACACACAGATATTCATTCAGGCAAAATATCTACATGCATAAAATAAAAATTGAAGAAGAAAAAAATAAAAACCAAATCAAAATCCAGTCTTCTGATGCCATAAGGACAACCACAGTTGACATTACAAAAATCAGATTCCTAGGACTTGAGGTGTAGTCCACAGTAGTGTGCTCAGCATGACTGAGCTGAGTTTGCAGCAACACACGTAACACTGACCCAGCCTTTTACTGCTCATCCTTGATTACTGTGAGTGGAGACAGTGCTAGTCAATAGCCGGACCACATTTCTGTATTAATGCTTTTACAGATGACTGAAAGTATATGCCTTATAGGCTACAATCTCAACTTCTATATTATCATACTCCAGTTCATATACTTAACTCCTAATTCCAAACAATGGTCTAAAAAGATGGACTATGTGGGACAGGATGTGCTCATGGAGGCAGAGTGCTCACAAAATTGATAGAGGGCCCTAGAGTGACCCCAAAACCTGCCTTGATCTTGGACTTTCCAGAACCCAGAATTACACAAAATACAGTTTTGTTGTTTGCAAGGGACCTATTTTATGAAATTTTTATTATAGAAGCTCAAACATACTAAGCATATATTCTTAAAGATCTTTTCTTTTTTCAAAAAGATAACATTTCATTTTTAAAAAAGATTACTTTTATTTCAAATTGCATGCACATGTGTATGTGTAAGGGTGTGTGTATTGGTATATGCACAATGAATGTAGATGCCCTTAGAGTCCAAAGGCATCAGATCTCCTGCAGTCAACAGACACGGATGTTACGAACTGAACTCAAGTCCTTTTCAACAGCAGTATATGCTCTTAACTGCTGAGGCACCCACCCAGCCTTTTCTTAAGATGATCTTTTGGTTAGCATATAAAGAACCTGGTTTGTGATATTTTCATACATATATATCATTATGATTTGTTCTCATTTTAAACCACCATGTCACCCTCCCCTCTTACATTGCTAAAGTCATATAACTTAATAAAGGTGTAGAGATAGGACAGATTCCTCAGAATAGTGAAGGGACTCTAGCCAGCTCCATCCAGCATGGCAAGATGGTTCTGGCAGGCTTTGCTCTTCTTCCCATTTCCTTGCTGACTATCAGGGTCCAGCTATCAAAGTACTGAAGTCCAGCAATCAAAAACCCCTTTTAGCTACCCTAATTAACATGTATAATCATTACATATGTATGCATATAGCTTCCTAAGTACATAAACCAACCCGCTCAGTTCATACGATGTTACTTGTATGTAAATGATTCCAGGTTTGAGAGCCTGGGGGCAGACAGGGGATGCTGAGATGGAGAGGACTATGGTCTGACCTCATCTACACGCACGTGTACACGCAAATCTACACGCACATCTACACGCACGTGTACACCCACATCTACACGCACGTGTACACACACATCTACACGCACATCTACACGCACGTGTACACGCACATCTACACGCACGT